TGTGCCCAGGTGTATCTCAGGTGTGCCCAGGTGTATCTCAGGTGTGTCTCAGGTGTGCCCAGCTGTGCCCAGGTGTATCTCAGCTGTATCTCTGGTGTGCCCAGCTGTGCCCAGGTGTATCTCAGCTGTATCTCAGGTGTGTCTCAGGTGTGCCCAGGTGTATCTCAGGTGTATCTCAGGTGTGCCCAGCTGTGCCCAGGTGTATCTCAGGTGTGTCTCAGGTGTGCCTAGCTGTGCCCAGGTGTATCTCAGCTGTATCTCAGGTGTGTCTCAGGTGTGCCCAGGTGTATCTCAGGTGTGTCTCAGGTGTGCCCAGGTGTGTGACAGGTATCTTTTCAGCCCCCAAAGGTGAGTTGGAGCTGCAGGAGCTGCAGGCCCGCCGGGAGCAGCGGCTGCAGGTGAGGGCGGAGCGGCGCCGGGAGCAGGAGCAGAACCTGCAGCGGAAACGGCAGCAGCGCGAGCGGCACAGGTGAGACGGGGCAGGACAGGTGGGACAGGGCTCAGGTGTGACAGGGGCTCAGGTGTGCCAGGGACAGGTGTGCAATGGACTCAGGTGTGCCAGGACAGGTGTGACAGGGGCTCAGGTGTGCCAGGACAGGTGTGCCAGGGGCTCAGGTGTGACAGGGGCTCAGGTGTGCCAGGACAGGTGTGCCAGGGACTCAGGTGTGCCAGAGACAGCTGTGCCAGGGGCTCAGGTGGGACGGGGACTCAGCTGTGCCAGGGACAGGTGTGCCAGGGGCTCAGGTGTGCCAGGACAGGTGTGCCAGGGGCTCAGGTGGGACGGGGACTCAGGTGTGCCAGGGACAGGTGTGCCAGGGGCTCAGGTGTGCCAGGGGCTCAGGTGGGACGGGGACTCAGGTGTGCCAGGGACAGCTGTGCCAGGGGCTCAGGTGGGACAGGGACTCAGGTGTGCCAGGGGCTCAGGTGTGCCAGGGACAGGTGTGCCAGGGGCTCAGGTGTGCCAGGGACTCAGGTGAGGGTGTCAGGGGCCTCCCAGATGAAGAGTCACAGAGGTGAGAATGGGGAGGTCACACAGGTGAGGTCACAGGGGGTCACACAGGTGAGGTAACACAGGTGAGGATGGGGTCACACAGGTGAGGATGGGGTCACACGGGGGGTCACACAGGTGGGGTCACACAGGTGAGGATGGGCTCACACAGGTGAAGCTCCTCCAGGTGAGGCTCCCCCAGGTGGGGCAGCCTGGCCAGATCCATCCTCAGGTGTCCCCTCACCTGTCCATGTCCCACCTGTCTGTCCCCAGGGAGCGCAGCCTGGCCGGGATGCGCCGGGCCGCAGGTGGCCCAGGTGGCCCAGGTGGTGGCCCAGGTGGCCCAGGTGGCCCAGGTGGCCCGGGTGGTGGCCCGGGTGGCCCAGCAGGTGACAGCGACGCCGAGGACCCCGGCGCACCTGAGGCAGGTGAGGCGGAGCCGTCGGACGAGGACGAGGCCGAGTATTACAGACAGGAGCTGGGGGAGGAGCCCGAC